TTGGAGTGATCATAGCAATATCTTCCAAGTAGCTTTGGAAGTCCATGTGAGAAAAGAAGTAAGGATGATGTGAGTGGGTATAACAAGCTGTTTGCCAGGTAAATGATTATTATGATGGTGATGAGGATATCACGTGTTAGTCCTTCAAATGAACACTAAATCTTAAAGTACCCAAGTAACATTCTGATGTTCTTCAGAAAATACATAAAGTGAAGAGGGAAGAGCTGTATTTTGGGTTGATGTTGAGATCAACTTCAAAGATTTTTGTGGCTGCCTACAATAGAATCTAAATCAACACACACAAGGGAGATCTAGAAAGGCCTTATAATCTCTGGAACTCTGTTGCATTTAAGAATTGACTGGCTTGATCATTAACTGGACATTGAAAATGTGTTTTTAGTAATTTTTTATCTACTAATTTGAAGGATTTTAATTAGATTGCTGTTTTGGGGTAGTGCTTTGTTTCATGATCTCTGGTTTTCTTAAGCTGGGTGCTGCTTTAAGGTTATGGCTGGCTTCTGTTGTTTAATGATATTGTGATTGGATGTTGTTGGCTTTTCAGTTTTAATGATGATGCTTTTTATCTAATTGTAAATTTGTTCAGTTTTATTGAATATTATTTTAAGTCACCCTGTAAAAGTATTATTAAAAGAGAAGGCATAAATTTATTAAATTGACAAAGCAATGAATACTAGAATCTTCTAGTGTTCATTGCTTTATTCATTTAATACATGTATTAAATGAATTAAGATTCATTATAAGATCCCCAATAAAAATTATGACAGTCTGTCAGCAGTCAGATTAATCTCCTGAAACACTAGGTTGTTCTGGTGCTTGGAGTTTATGAACGATTTTCCAAAATACCCTTTCTTTTAATTCAGCCGGAGGAAGGGGGGGGGGGGGGTTAAAAATGAAAGCACTGGATTTATTTGACTGGAGATCAGAATTCACCAGTTTTATGACAACAGAATGGGTAATTTAGAAAGTGTGCAATTATCTACAGGGGCAATATTAGTAGAAAAACTGACTGTTGCAATGCATGTAATGAGGTACACAAATCAATACAGAAAATATAGATGGGCAAGTAGACAAAGGAAAATAACATATAAAGAGAATTCTAGATAAAAAAACAGTGAAGTGAAACTCTTTTTTTCAGTTGTTTATTTCTAAGGAATCTGAATGTAAACAATATGATATGTTAAATATATAGGCCATAATCCTACCTAGGACATGTAGCTATGATGTCATAGCTATGCTGTTTCTCCCAATCCAACCTGCTAAAGCCTACCTTAAAGAAACAAACACCTGAAATAAGCAAATGTGTTCTGCAACACTGGTGAACAGAGTGCTGAAGAATGATGCCTCCAGTCTCCTTCTACCAACTTAGGCTGCAAGTCACTTTTGAAGTGTCATCTGCGCTGATGATAGTGTCACCACCTCCCAAGCAAGGAGCTTTGAGATGGTTGAACAGAAGCTCTCTGAAGCTTTATGTTCTCTTACTGCCTATTACAGGGAAAACCAGCTGATTCTTAATCCATTCAAAACACAGACATGTGCTTTTCACCTTAAGAACAGACAAGCATCTCGAGCTCTGAGGATTATTTGGGAAGGAATCCCACTGGAGCATTGCAGCCACAATACTTGGGAGTTACCCTGGACCATGCTCTTGCTTAAAAGAAGCACTGCTTGACTATCAAGCAAAAAGTGGGTGCTAGAAATAATATCATACGAAAGCTGACTGGCACAACTTGGGGATCACAATCAGATACAGTTAAGACTTTGCACTTTGCTACTCTGCTGCTGAATATGCATGCCTTGTGTGGAACACATCTTGTTATGTTAAAATAGTGGATGTGGCTCTTAATGAGACATATTGCTGCATTATCACAAGATGTCTACACCCCACACCACTGGAGAAATTATACTGTTTAGCCGGTATTGCACCACCTAACATCCATCGAGAAGTAGCAACCAACAATAAAAGGACCAAGGCAGTGACATCTCTTGCCCGTCCCCTATTCAGATAGCAGCCAGTATGCCAATGCTTTAAATCAAGAAATACTTTTCTAAGCTCTACAGAGATAATTGATAACCCAAATAAGAGACTCCCTCCTGGGCACGCAGAAGACTGGGCAACTTGGAAGGTATTGAACAAACTGAGCTCTGGTACCTTGAGATGCAGAGCCAACCTTAAGAAATGGGGCCACCTGCAAGACAGGGATCCTCTTATAACAACACCAGAGGCACTCTAAGTGCCCAGCTACTGGTCAAAGAACATTTAGTATAATGCAAAGGTTTAAACTATTTTTGTGTTTTTAAATACATTACAACTGTACCCTCGGTTTGCTTCTAACATAGTAAATAAATAAATAAACTTATTTAGGTGATTCCTTATAGTCTGAGGATGATGGCCCTAAAGGGTAGCATCTTTGCAGTGGGTACGTATGTTTTCTGCAGTGAGGACTTTGGTTTCTAGGTGGAGGGAGGCCCAGGGTTGGCTTGACACAACTTCCTCTTGCAACATTTCTTCCTTTCACCCTCCAGTCATGCCTCTTTGAATTCTGCAGTACTGCTGGTCGCAGCTGACCTACAGTTTGAGCACCCAAGGGCCCAGTTCTTGCTGTCTGTGCCACAGATTTGAAGGTTGGCTTTAAACCCGTATTTAAATCTCTTTTCCTTTCCAACAACATTATATTTTCAATTCTTGGGTTGGGAGTATAGTAACTGCTTTGGGAGACAGTTATAGGGCATTTGGACAATGTGGTCAGTCCAGTGGAGTCAATAGCACGGGAGCATCACTTCAGTGCTGGTGGTCTTTGCTTCTTTCAATACACTGATATTTGTCCAGCTGTCTTGCCAAGAGATCTCCAGGGTTTTTTTGCTTTTTTTTTTTTGAAGGCAACACTGATGGAATTATTCCAGGAGTTGATTGTGGCATCTTTATACAGTCCACATTTTGCAGAAATATAGCAGGGTTGAGAGGACAATAGCTTTATAAACAAGCACCTTGGTATCTCTACGGATGTCCCAATCCTCAAACACTCTCTGCTTCATTTGGAAAAATGCTACACTCACAGAGCTCAGGCAGTGTTGCATTTCAGTGTCAATGTTGGCTTTTGTGGAGAGGTGGCTGCAAAGGTAGTGGAAATGGTCAACATTTTCTACTGTTACACTATTAAACTATATTTCTGGCATTGCAGAGGGATTGGCTGGTGACTTCTGGAAGAGCAGTTTGGTTTTCTCGATGTTCAATGCGAGAACGAGCTTCTCATATTAGGCCTGTTTGATCAAGAAAAAATTTGTTTCTAAAATCGATTTGTAATTGGGATGTTTTTTTGTTTCGATATTTAAAATAATTACAAAACTTTCCAAAAAAAAGTTTCAGTATTTACGAAATTTCGTAAATATTTACAAAACATTTTGTAAAGATGGCGCCCTTTTTTTTTCAATATTTTTAAAATATTTTTTAAATTTAATTATTAATTTAGTAGAATAGGGAGGAGAAATTATTATTGAGGGAAGGCAGGCACTCACTCTGGCGGGCCCTCTCGCTCGCCGCTCGCTCGCCGCTCGCCCTCTCGCTCGCCCTCTCGCCCTCTCGCTAGGATGGGTTCCTTCCAGGAGGGGCTCTTTTTCCCAGGCTGCCAAACTACAACTCCCAGGATGCTACAGCATTGAGCCAATGTGGTGCCAAACCTCATCCAGGCTGCAGTGTAGATGGCTGCAGGATGGAGGGGTTTCCTGCCTCGAATTGAGAGAGAGAGAGAGAGAGAGAGAGAAGAGGAAGCAAGTGAGACGTTTCCAAGGCTCTGCTGATCTGCTTCTGCCATGGCTGAGAAAGAAGGGCACAATGGGGGCTGCCTTTCCAACCAGGAGGGAAAGAAAGGGGAGCCTTCTTTGGAAGAGAGCTCAGAACCCCCCTGCGAAAGGTGAGAGAGAGAGAAAGAAGAGAAAAGGAAAGAAAGAGAAGGAGACCTCCCTCTCGCCCTCTCGCTCGCCCTCTCGCTCGCCCTCTCGCTCGCCGCTCGCCCTCTCACTCGCCCTCTCGCTCGCCGCTCGCCCTCTCACTCCTCGCTCGCCGCTCGCCCTCGCCCTCTCGCTCGCCCTCTCGCTCGCCCTCTCGCTCGCTTGCTCAGCCGGCGCGGAGAGAGGAGAGCTCCCAGCAAGCCAGGCGGCCATCTTACGTATTTCCGAAATGGACGGAAATACAAAATTTTTTGGCGCCTGCCGTTTCGATATTTAAAAACACTTCCAGGTTTAAAAATAAGTTTTGTAATCGTTTTGTAATTCAAAAATTAACGAATTTTTTAACGAATTACGAATTAACGAAACGAATTGCACAGCCCTATCTCATATGCTTTTGCAAAGGTGTTTAGAGTGGTTTGTAGATCTTCTGAATGCACACAACATATGTTATCATCAGCATATTGGAGTTCTATAACAAATGATGTGACCTTGGTTTTGGCTTTCAGTCTGCTGCTACATGATTTCCCCTTCCAGTGGGAAGCTTCCCATTAACAAGATGAAGTATCATAGCGATGAAGATGGAAAATAAAATTGGGGCAATAATGCATCCCTGTTTGACACCTGAATCTACCTTAAATGGGTCACTTTGGGAGGCCTTGTTGTCCAAGACTATTGTGATCACATCATCATGGAGGAGCCACAGGATGTTCACAAATTTGTGAGGGCACTTGATTTTTTGGAGGATGGTCCAGAGAGCACTGTGATTGACTGTGTTGAATGTCTTTGCAAGATCAATGAATGCCATGTGCAGAGGTTGATTTTGTTTCCTGCACTTTTCTTGGAGCTGACATTACAACCACCAGCCAACCCAGCTTCTAGCTAGCTGCTAATATCTGGACATCAAATAGTTGAGAGAGCTACTTGAATGACTCATATCTTCATAATATCTTGCAAATCATGAAATCTTGCATATTACAATTTTCATATAATGAAAACATCCATTACATTTCTGACTCTGTCTCTTTCTTTTTTAGGTTTTGATACCTACTTTACTTCTCGTACACTGGAAAACAACAGAAGAAATGTATGGTTTGCAGAGTATTGGGAAGAAAACTTCAATTGCAAGTTGACGATTAGTGGATCAAAAAAAGAAGACACTGATCGTAAATGCACGGGTAATTTCATTCTCTTTGTCCTTCTCACGATGCTGTACGTGGCCTGCATTTAAATATCTTTGAAAACTAGTCAGAGGCAGATTGAAAACAGAGAGGATGATAGCAATTGAAATTTCATAAGTTAAGTGAGGGAAAAGGAATAAGCACAAGCCTTGCAAGAAAGAAGAAATAAATTAGGCACAATGTACTCTTTCTATTTCTGCTTGTCCTTCCTTTGGCAACTGTTACTCGTTTCATTGATTTTGTGCCAGAAAGGGTGTTGTTTCATTTTGATTTTTTAAATATATAGTTATTTTGTACAAAAAGACTATATTTGTAAGTACTACTTCTGGGAAAAAAACAATGATGTCTTTAAGCATGGAACTTAAACAAATTATGTATTTCTAACAGGGGGTATCTTGATTATAAGTTTTCTCATTTTGAAGACACATAGTTACACAATAGGTGAATGTAAGAAAAATGAGATATGCTCTCGGGATTAAGGCATCCTGCTTTCTATTTACAGTCTCATCACACTAGAACATGGATCCACTTTAAATCCAGTTTCTGCCTCCTTAAGAATTCTGGGATTTCTAGTTTAGTGTAGCCCAGAACCTCTCTGGCTGAGCAGTTTAATGGCCCCTCCCTAAACTACAAGCCCCAGAATTCTGCAGGAGGATTTAAAGTGGATTCATACTCTAGTGTGATGAGGTTCCCCAGTCCACCAGTTTCCTAATGTTCCATATAGTGATCATAAAGATTTAATTTGTTAGAATTAGTCGAATCCTCATTTGCAACGATCATTTCTACCCATTTCTTACAATGGAAAATTACACAGATAAACTCAGGGCTATCTTGGGAGAATTTGCTGCTTGTGAGAAAAAACTTAGCTGTGTGTTCAGCATTCAGAAACTGACTGGATTTCCAGTGTAGCAATGAAATACATCATCCAGCAGCCCAAGACAGTTGGACAATTTGAAGGAACAGGATAGACTATGTGGCACACTATGACTCTCATTCAATGAAATAAATGGTTAGGAGGCTTAGGAAAAATAGCCAAGAAATTGCTCTTGTTGTCTGCCAATGTTTGTTACCTGAGGTAGCTTTCTTACCATGAGGAGTGTTGCTGTTTCCAATTTTTCCCTGATTTGTAATATGACACACAGGTCCCAACAAGGGACAAAGCTGCTTAATATAGTTTTTTCCCATGTCAGGTAACATTGAGTAAGTTGGACTCACAGTTTGTTGGATCAGTAATGTTTCAGGGAACCTGCATGACATAAAGAGGGAATCACCCCCTCTTTTCCCCCTCCATTACCTGAGTTGTGCCAGTGCCTTTGATAGCATCAGCAGTGGTGCTAAGGGATAGCCAGGGGCTCTTTGGAACTCTGTGGCCACTACTTTGACAGCACCAGGATGACCAAGGTAAGGATGGCTGTCTAGTGGGATTGAACAGGTATTCTGTCCCACTGGTGCAGTGGAATGGATGCAGGCATTGTAGCTGGCCCTGGAACTAGTCCGCAGTACTGCACTCCCGACCAGCCACGGGTGTTCCTGCCCATGTAGATGTGCCCTAAGCTGAGACTCTTGTGCTTTGGCTTTATCATAAGTAGAATTGACACATTTTAAAAGACAGTGATACTAGTCAAGGTAGAAAACACATACAAAGACAGATACAGAAAAGAGTTCTCATTCTCCTGAATTGCAATAAACGAGCAACTGGGGAAACAGTGGTATGATGTAGGAAGCCTTTGTTGATAAGTGAAATTCAAGAATTTTCAGTCTGGCTATTTTCAAGACTAGCTTCAAACTGCAGTAATCCAACCAAGAAGTTATCAACTGTGGGATATGGTGGGATATGGAGATATTTGCTCTTTAAAGAATGGACACAGTTGGGCACAGACAGACCAGGAGAAATGCATGAATACAGCAGCATCTTTCACAGAATGATGCAACTTTGAAGTTGTTTCACATATTACCAAGCAACATAAGATGTATGAGTGACTCACAATTATCCATCTGTGAAATTGAAATAAAGAACTAAAAAGGTTGTTTTGTAGTGAGGGGGGGGGGGGGCTGGAAGAATAAAATAATCCAATCCAGCAGAGAAGCATAGTTAAAACACTGGTTTTAAAATGCTTCAGTTTCTAACTCTTAGAGAGACAATAGTCAAAATTGAATTTGGGGGTATTGAAATAGCTATTTTAGTTTTAAAAACCAATTGGAAATTGCATAACTGGTTCTGTCTACATCAAATCTGGACAAACTCTGAGGAATAGAGGATCATTTGTGGGTCATCCATACATTCATCAGACCACATTGACATGTATGGCAAAAACTAGAAATGAGTGAGGGTGGAGCGGAGAGACCTATCCAATTGCTTTCAGATAGGTTTTTGTTTTGGTTCTATTTATTTATTTATTTATTTATTTATTTGTTGCTATATTGGGATGAAGATCCCAAAAGAGCAGTTGTGGTCCTAAATAGATGCTTGGGTCAAATTTCAAATTTCAAAAAAATGTATTTTGCCTGATTATTATACACAAATGTGCAGTTTGTGAGGTCTGGAAAGGGTTAAGGACTGCATGTGGCACGTGAGCTGCAAAATTTCGACCCTTGTTCTTTATTAAGCCAATTAGATTTGGTTTGTCAGATATTGCAGCTATTTTCTGAGAGGAACAAATGGAAAGAGGAATTGGATTTAGTGCATCATAGCTTCATAAAGTATAAAGGATATCATTAATATTAAATGCTGACATTCTTGTATGTTTTATCTGGCTATAGTGCAACCTGAGTATTTTTATCTAAAAATCTGAAATAATCAAACACTAAAACTCTGCCAACTGATGGCTTTGAGGAAAGGGAACTAGTTTCACATTCAGCAGTGGCTTTTTTCCTCAAGGATGCCTCACAGGAGGAAGAGAAAGGAGGAGGACTCCACTTACAGAAGGCTATTGTAAAAAGCAGATGTCTGAGATGCTTCCAAACTTGTTTTCTGCCTGACCAATGATAGTGTGCAGCAGGGCAGATTACTTGCAAAAGTTCCAAGGGTAAATGCACCCAAAGACTTTCTGGGTCTGCATGACACACACACACACACACACTCTTTCCAAAGCAAGGAGGCAACAGGCAAGTTCTCATTCTTACTCTATAGGAGACGCTCAGTTGCAGGCATGCTATCTGGCTCTACACACACACACACCCCACACACACTTTCCAAGACAAGGAGACATGGAGTACCACATGCTCACAAAAAGCAGCCGAGAAGCTGGATTGGCTACCGCTTGCTTTCGTGTCAAGCTGATTTTCATACTAGAAGGGGACTTCCCATTACATGCTCCCAAAGGTAACAAAAGTTACGAAAGAATGGGTGAAACTAAGGAAAATGCTTCCACACCCAACTCTATTGGAAGTCACTGAGTATTCAAGTTTGTTGGTGTTTATTTAAGGAAAGAATGTGAAATGGTTACAATGGAATGATCACAGAATTTTTACTCAAGAGTAAAAAAGTGTTTTAAATTGTTAATATTCATAATGGTACAGAGGCTAAATTAGTCACGTTAGAGAAAGTTCTCTCATAGCTATTAACAAAACACTTACAAAACTATACCAGTTCTTTCACAATGTGAATCAATTGGACAATTGTTTGTGGTGAGGAGAGGCAACTGTATGTGAAGACAGTTGAAATTATATAAATCCATGCTCTGTATACACCATCAAGTCCATAAAAAGTATTTTAAAACCTAAAAAATTAGGTATTTTATTTTGAATGTTTAACTAACAAAAATGTATGGACTAAATGGCTCAGTTGATGTGAAGAAAAAATAGTTATATGTCTCAAGTGAGGAGTTTCAGAGATAATGGGACAGCATTCTATTCATTTCTTCATGCTTTGGGGGAAAACACTTATTTGAATTATGTTCCAATTCTTCATTAATCATTTATTTATAAAATATTCCCAAAGATTAAGGGAATCAAGGAAAGGATCTCAGCTACAGATGTAAAAAATAGGCCTACCCACTGGAAAAAAAAAACATTCAAGTGATATATCTAGTATATGCTTCTCTGAAAGCAGACATTTATTTAATTGTTCAAGCAAAATGTTTAGAAGTATCAGAAAGTAAGTATACAAGTTTTACCTGCTCCACCAATACTCACTGCATGTATGAGAGAGATATGTTTAAAACAGAAGTTTCAACATGTTGCAGACAATCATAATCTGAATTCCAAAATACCCCAAAATCCAAAGTTGTCTCCAAGGGAGGCTAAGTTCATGAAATCTTTGCTTTCTGATGGCTCAATATACACAAACTTTGTTTCATGCACAAAATTATTAAAAATATGGTGTATAAAATTATCTTCACTCCATGTGTCTAGGATGCATATGAAACAGAAATGAATTTTGTGTTTAGACTTGGATCCCAAGTCCAAGATATCTCATGATATACATATATGCAAATACAGGTATTCTAAAAATATATTTAAAAACCTATCAAAATCCAAAACACTTTCGGTTCTGAGTATTTTTGATAAAGGATATCCAGGGAGGAGCAGAGGATAAGTTCAACTAGCCCCAGATGTGATGACGCAGCTAGCTCAAAGCCGAAAGGAAGGCTAGCGGCCGACGGTACTGGAGGTGAACGACGAATCCGATGCTCTAAAGATCAACACACCATAGGAACCTGGAATGTAAGATCTATGAGCCAGGGCAAATTGGCTGTTGTATTGGTGAGATGTCAAGACTAAAGATAGACATTCTGGGGGTCAGCGAACTGAAATGGACTGGAATGGGCCACTTCACATCAGATGACCACCAGATCTACTACTGCGGACAAGAGGAACATCGAAGAAATGGAGTAGCCTTCATAATTAATAAGAAATTCGCTAAAGCAGTGCTTGGATACAACCCAAAAAATGACAGAATGATCTCAATTCGAGTGCAAGGAAAGCCTTTCAACATTACAGTGATCCAAATATATGCCCCAACCACAGCTGCTGAAGAAGCAGAAGTAGATCAGGTC